ACTAAAAGAAAAGATTGGGGAAACGCTTCAGGACATTGGTCTAGGCGAGGAGTTCTTAAGTAATGCCCCCAAAGCACAGGCAACCAAAGCAAAATTGGACAAATGGGATCACATCAAGCTAAAAAGCTTTGGCATAGCATAGGAAACAATCAACAAAATGAAGAGACAACCCACAGAAAAGGAGAAAATATTTGCAAACTACCCATCTGAGGGACTAATAGCTAGCCTATGTAAAAAGCTCCAACAACTCAATAGGAAAAAAAATCAAATAATCCAACTAAAAAATAGCAAAAGATCAGAATAGACATTTCTTAAAGAAGAAATACAAATGGCCAACAGGTATATGAAAAAATGCTGAATATCATTAGCCATCAGAGAAATGCAAATCAAAAGTACAATGAGATATCATTTCACCCCAGTTAAGATGGCTCTTATAGGCTCAGCGCCCATAGCACAGTGGTTACAGGACCATTCATAAACACCAAAGGTGGCAGGTTCACACCCAGCCCAGGCCAGCTAACCAACTCCAACAAAAAATAGCCAGGCATTGTAGAAGGCGCCTATAGTCCCAGCTACTTGAGAGGCTGAGGCAAGAGAATCGCCTAAGCTCAAGAGTTTGAGGCTGCTGTGAGCTGTGACACCATAGAACTCTACCAAGGGTGCATAATGAGACTCTGTCTCAAAAAAAAAAAAAAAGATAGCTTCTATCAAAAAGACAGGCAACAATAAATGTTGTCAAGGATGTAGAGAAAGAAGAATCCTCATATACCATTGGTGGGATTGTAAATTGCACTATCGAGAACTGTATGGAGGTTTCTCAAAAAACTAAAAATAGCACTATCATATGACCCTGAAATTCTACTGCTGGGTACATATCCAAAGGAGGGTAGTTCAGTAAATCAAAGAGATATCTGCACTCCATGTTTATTGCAGCATTATTCACAATAGTCAAGATTTGGACTCAACCTAAGTGTCCATCAACAGATGAATAAAGAAATTGTGATACATACACTGTGGAATATTACATAGCCACCAAAAAGACAGAAATTCTCCCATTTGCAACAACACAGACGAAACAGAAGAACATTATGTTAAATGAAATAAGCCAACCAGAGCAGCGCCTGGGGCCCAGTTGGTAGGGTGCCAGCCCCATATACCAAGGGTGACAGGCTCAAACCTGGTCCCAGCTAAACTGCAACCCAAAATAGCCGGGTGTTGTGACAGGCACCTGTAGTCCCAGCTACTCGGGAGGCTGAGACAAGAGAATGGCCTAAGCCCAGGAGTTGGAGGTTGCTGTGAGCTGTGACGCCACCGTACTCTATTGAGGGTGACAAAGTGAAACTCTGTCTCAAAAAAAAAAAGAAAAAGAAAAGAAATAAGCCAACCATAGTAAGACAAATCTTGAATGTTCTCACTCATAGGTGGGAGCTAAATAGTAAAACAACTGATCTCATGAAGGTAGCAGAATGATGGTAACCAGAGGTTAGAAAGGGTAGCAAGGAGGGGGATTAAGTAGGGTTGGTTCATGAATGCAAAAATAGTTAGATAAAATGAACAATATTTGATAGCACAATAAAAGTGATATAATCAAGAATAAATTAGGGTATACATTAAAATAATTAAAAGTGTAGAATTAGAATGTTCCTAACACAAAGAAATGATAAATGCCTGAGGTAATGGATACTCCAATTACCTTGATCTGACTAATTCACATTATATGCCTATATCAATGCACCCTATAAAGATATACAATTATTACGTACCCATAATAATTTTTTTTTTGAGACAGAGTCTCACTATGGCACCCTGGGTAGAGTACCCTGGCATCACAGCTCACAGCAACCTCAAACTCTTGGGCTTAAGTGATTCTCTTGCCTCAGCCTCCCAAATAGCTGGGACTACAGGCAGCCATCGCAACACCCCGCTATTTTGTTGTTGTTGTTGCAGTTGTCATTGTTCAGCAGGCCCGGGATGAATTCAAACCCGCCAGCCTCAGTGTATGTGACCAGTGCCCTATTCACTGAGCTATACGCATACCCATAATAATTTTTAAAATTTTTTAAATGTTCTAAGAAAATACTGGGCCAAGCACAGTGGCTCCTGTTTGTAATCCTACTACTGTGGGAGGCCAAGGCTTAAGGATTGCTTGAGGTCAGGAGTATGAGAACTATCTGAGCAAGAGTGAAACTCCATCTCTACAGAAGGTAGAAAAATTATCTGGGCTTGCT